GGTACAAGTAGAAAACACAAAAGTGTTGTACCCTCTAAGGACTACCCCACTACAGCCTAAACAGACTATAGTAGATATAAGTTTGACATAACCCCATAGGCAAAGTGGGGGAGAACAAGGGGTCACAAGACCAGTCAAGAAAGACAAAGCAAGCTCAGGGTGGATCACAAAGTCACCACACAGTCTGAGCACAAGCAAAGGGCCATAAGGCCAGTTCACATGCAGAGTTATATAAAGGAAAGCAAACAATACAGTGAACACAACCTAGCAAGAGTAAGCATGCAGGTATAAGTATATAGAGTACAGTACAAGCAGAGTCAAGAAGTCAACAAGTGAGGCACAGTAGGTACAAGGCCTAACACAGTACAGAAACGCTGATGATCACAAGGCTGAAGTGCCTTGGCGAAAACGTCAGCAGTGTTGGCCTGAGAGGCCACGTAAGCAAGACGAAGCTGGCCACGCTGCTGCAACTCTCGAGCAAGGAAGTAGCGCAGAGCAATGTGCTTCGTTCTGTGCTCCAGTCTGTGCTCCTGACACAAGGCCAGCATGGCCTTGTTGTCGACGTACAGAACTGGAGGAGAACGAGGCGCCTCTCCCAAGTCGGTCAGCAGGTAGGTGAGCCAGCGAAGCTCCTGTGCAGCCATGGCTCCAACGTAGATCTCAGCCTCACAACTGGAGCTGAGAACAGAAGAAGAGCGGGTAGACCGCCAAGAGACAGAGCCGGAGCCAAGACTGAAGGTGTAACCCTGTGACGACCGCTGCGTAGCCAAGTCGTCAACCTAGGAGGCGTCAGCGTGACCAGTGAGGACAACTCGAGCCCGTCCTCCAAGCACAAGCCCCATGCCCGATGTACTGCACAAGTAGCGCAACACCCTCTTCGCAGCATCCTAGTGCACCTTTCGGTGCCTGCCGGGAGCCACGTAGCGAGCCAGAAGGCTGAGAGGGTATGCGAGGTCAGGTCGTGTGCAAGTCATCAGGTACATGAGGCAGCCCACAAGCTTTGGATACGGGCCACTCGGCTCTACGGACTCGTCCGAAGGTGGAGCTGAGAGCTGAATAATTGACGAAAGAAATGATTGAACTAGAAAGCAGAAGGGTACAAGTAGAAAACACAAAAGTGTTGTACCCTCTAAGGACTACCCCACTACAGCCTAAACAGACTATAGTAGATATAAGTTTGACAACTAAGGCTACTACTCTTCGGGTATTGCTCGCGCTAGCGGCATCTCTCAACCTCGAAGTGGAGCAATTGGACGTTTGCACTGCCTTCCTCTACGGGCTTCTCATGGAAGAGGTCTACATGCAGCAACCCCTGGGGTACGATGATGGTAGCGGAAGGGTATGGAAGCTCAAGCGTACCCTCTACAGCTTGAATCAAAGTCCACGCGGATGGTACAAGCGCATCGACGACTTTCTTCTTCAACACGGCTTCGCTCGTAGCGAGTGCGATAGCCCTTTGTACGTGTTGAAGGAGGGGGAGAAGCAATTGGTGATTTTAATCTACGTCGATGACCTAATCCTCTTCTCCGACTCCAAAGACCTCATTCGGGAGGTCAAGCAATGGCTAGGGGCGGAGTTTGCGATGAGGGACTTGGGGCTGGTCACGTACTACCTTGGGATGCACGTCGACCGTGACCGAGCCAACGGGACCATCCACCTCCTCCAAGAGAAGTATGTGAAGGTGGTAGTGGAGAGCTTTGGCATGGGCAATAGCAAACCGGTGGGAACACCACTAGCTACCGGGATTTTCTTGCCTCGCGGGAGAGGAAGAATCCACCCTCGACGAAGCCGAAGGGAAGCAGTTTCATTCGCTAGTGGGCTCGCTCATGTATGCCGCCGTTTCTACCCGTCCCGACCTCGCATACGACACCGGGGTGCTTGGACGAGTCGTGAGCAACCCTCATACCGAGCATGTGCGCGCGGGAGGACGCGTTCTACGCTATCTCCAAGGCACACATAACTTGGGGCTCGTGTATGAAGCTGGCCCAATCGAGCTCAAAGGCTATGCCGACTCGGACTACGCGGGAGATCCGAGCACGCGCAAGAGTACCTCCGGGTACGTCTTCACCTTGCTTGGGGCAGCCGTGAGTTGGCAAAGCAAGAAGCAACCAACCGTGGCTCTAAGCTCAACGGAAGCGGAGTATATGGCACTCACACAAGGTGCCATGGAGGCAATATGGCTACGGTGTCTTCTAGCGGAGCTTGGCCATCCTCAACCGAGCCCAACTCCTCTCTTTTGTGACAACCAAGCCACCATAAGCCTCTCTCACAACGCTGTCCTTCATGGATGAACGAAGCATATTGAGGTGAAGCATCACTTCATTCGTGAGGCGGTTGAGAAGGGTGAGGTCAAACTCACTGATGTGAACACCAAAGCTCAACCGGCGGATTTCCTCACCAAACCACTCCCTAAGGACTCGTTCCGTGCATGCTGTTAGCGTGTTGGCTTGCTTGGGTGCAAGGGGGAGTGTTGGAGGTTTCGTGGGGCGGTTTTGCCCCCAACCACCAAGCGGTGTTGTTTTTGGTGCTCACCTTCGAGTGAGCTGCAGGTTTGCGTGGGGTTGAAGTTTGACTTCGGAAGACTCCATCACTTCGGTGCCACATGGCAGCACAAGAAGAATCGAGATTGAAGGAGAATTCGATTCGGTGAAATTCGAGTTCCGCATTTCACCCCTTCGAAATGTTACTCGAACATTCGAGAGTGTAGCGACTCGAGGTTACATGTGCGACTCGAGGTTACATGTGCGACTCGATGCATTGCAGTTCATATATATATTTTTTGCTTTGTATTGCATGGAATATACTAAACATTGTGAATCACTTTGTATGAAGTACATTCGAACACAAATTCCAGAGAGTTTCCAATCCTTCAACATAGAGCATAGCTTTCACATTAGTAGCCATATGTCGCTCGATACTTAGGCGATCGAGGTGATCCACGGCCCGTTGGAAAGCTAAGACGGTGATCTACTGATTAGTACAAATCCCATTTGCCGCCTTTTGCTGGTCACAAGTTCGAGTTGGTATTCAAAAGACCCAGTTTCTCGTCATCCGGATTTCGTCCCAATCCTGCCATGGCTAACGTCTTTCTCACTGGTGCCACCGTCGCGTCTTCGAGTTTCACTACTGATTTTGGCAAGATCCCAACGCGCCGAGCTCCATCTACCGTCGTGACGACGGGCGTTCGCCTCGCGCTGGTCCGTGCTGAAGCTCCTCATTATGTCATCGCCAATGTCACCGCCTCCCCGATCCCCACGAAAGTTTCAGGTAGGTCCCGTCTGTTTTCGAAAGAGTCTTGCCAATTAGATTAGTAGTCCTTTCATTCGCAATGAATTCGTTCTGCTCTCACTTCTCTTTCTCACAATGTTGCGAAGGGCGTGACCTCTTGATGTTTTCTCTTCTTTTAGTTTTCCACGTCGTCAATCTCACAAATGTTTTCGTTTTTCTTTCTCTCTCTTTCAAATTTCCGTCATCCTTCCCCGCAGATGCGGCCACCTCTGTGAAGGCATCTCCTAGCCTTGCTACTCGTACCACTACCCCCGCCAACGATGATGCCCCACGATGCAGGCGTTGCAACAATCCCTGCACAAAAGACAATGTCGCTTCGGAAGCGCCTGATTTTTACCCCTTCACGTCACTCCCACCGACTCCGGTCTTTCCATCGCACACAGCCATGGCGCTCTTCCTCCAAGCCTACGCTCGCATGCTGCAGCACGTTCAGACTGCCACGTCGGGCGTTGATCGCGTTGACCCCGTTGACCGCGTTGACCACAGCCAGGACGCCCTCGTCTCTGGCGAATCCCTCGCCGCCGCTGGCGTGACGGCGCTGAAAAGTGTGTGTGTGGGGCTCCGCGCGCTGCTGCACCACCCGCAGCATGGCGTGGTGGGGGGGCGGGGGGGGGGGGGGGGGGGGCGTGGTGCGCCAGGAAGGAGCGTGCGGAGCAGTGCCTCGCGGAGCTGGAGTGCGATATTGAGACCCTTTCGCTCTGCGCATGAGCGCCCGCCCCGTGCCACTACACTCGCGCTTGTGACTATTCACTGCATAGACGCTGCTCGGATCATCATCAGACTGTTAAACGATCATCACCATTCCTGATGATCATGGGTCCAAAGTTCTACTCACAGGCCCCACCATTCAACCTTCATCTGTCATCCCGCCCCATACGTCTTCCATCAACCAATCAATGAGAGGGACAGATGCAGCTAAAACTGGCTGCTAATATGTGAGCCGGGTACACATGAGCCAAATAATTGGTGTTTAGTTTTGCTGTTGAGGTGTAAATAATTAATGCCCCCTGGATGTAGCCATCAGTGATTAATTTGGTTGGCAGGACCCTTGCGCTTTTTCCATGTTGAGAGAAGCTTAGAGGGTGCCCATCTGCTGGTGGTGTATATTATAGGGGCATCTTGTGTCTGAGATTGCCATGTTTGAAATGTGTTAGCATTATATATATATATATTACCTACCTATTTGCTGAATGTACCCTATACATTCTCTTGATGAATCTGGGTGTAGGTACTTGAATTTGCTTTTACCTTCCAACTGGCCATAACCTCTAAAAAAGGTTATCTGATTATGTTTTTTCCCTTGGTGATGAGGAATTCAGTGGACCTCAACGTTCATTCGCTGGTTCTGGATACCAGTTTTTTCCCGACATCGCCATCGTCCGCAAACCCAGAGTTCACCAGCTTTTCAAATTTCTCTCGCAAGGTCTTGGTCCTCGCAACTTTCGCCTCATCAATTCCGAAGTTTAGTCGGCAGTGTTATATTTTAGGTATTTTGGCCGTGCTTTCTCCGGCCTATGTAAACTCCCATCCTACAGGTGAAGGCCTGTTCTACCTTATCCCTTCGGCAAGGCGGACTTTAGCTGGTCCTCGAGTTTCGCATTCGCCTCGGTCGACATATATCACTGTCCGGCGCATTACCAGCCGCGTCGCCAAACCCTAATTGCCAGAGCGTGGACTCGCTAGTCAGTTGGCTTTTTCGAAATCTCGCCGCCATGGCTTCTAAAGAAGCCGACGCGCGGCTCGCGTACATGACGAAGCGCGAGTCAGAGATCCGCCTCCCGCGTGCGACTCGCGTTAAGAACAAAACTCCCGCGCCGGTCCAGATCACCGCGGAGCAGATTCTCCGCGAGGCTCGCGAGCGGCAGGAGGTAGAAACAGCGGCGCCGAAGCAGAAAATCACCGACGCGCAGGAACTCGGGGAGTACCGGTTAAGGAAGCGCAAGGAGTTTGAAGATTTGATTCGGCGGGTTAGGTGGAACACGAGCGTATGGGTCAAGTACGCCACGTGGGAGATGAGCCAAAAGGACTTCGCGCGCGCGCGATCCGTGTGGGAGCGCGCGCTGGAGGTGGACTATAGGTGAGTGTGACTATAGACGCGGTCATGGAGATGCGCAACCGCTTTGTCCTCCCCCATTCCTTCCGCTCCCCCATCCGCCCCTCTCTACGCTCCCTCCTCCGCCCCTCCGTCGGCTGCCCTTTCTCCCCCTCCCTTCCCCCCTCAGGAACGTGTCCATATGGTTGAAATACGTGGCATGGAGATGCGCAACCGCTTTGTTAACCATGCATCAGAGCATCACCCTGTCCTTTATCACTTCCCCCCCAGGAACGTGTCCATATGGCTCAAGTACGCGGGCACGGAGGTGCGCATCGGTTTTGCCAGTCATTCCCCCCGTCGCGCCAGCTTCCCACCCCCTCCCCCCTTTCCCCAGTTGGCCCCCCTCCTCTCCCCCCCAGGAACGTGTCCATATGGCTCAAGTACGCGGGCATGGAGGTGCGCAGCCGCTGTGGGCACCGTCCCCTCTTGCTCTCCAATCATTCGCCCGTCACCGTGTGTGATGAGGCGATTTTTGAGTCGACTCAAAAATCATTCCCCCGTCACCGTGTGTGATGAGGCGATTTTTGAGTCGACTCAAAAATCATTCCCCCGTCACCGTGTGTGATGAGGCGATTTTTGAGTCGACTAAAAAATCATTCCCCCGTCACCGTGTGTGATGAGGCGATTTTTGAGTCGACTCAAAAATCATTCCCCCGTCACCGTGTGTGATGAGGCGATTTTTGAGTCGACTCAAAAATCATTCCCCCGTCACCGTGTGTGATGAGGCGATTTTTGAGTCGACTCAAAAATCATTCCCCCGTCACCTTCCTCCCCCTTTCAACCAGGAACGTGTCCGTATGGTTCAAATACGGCGACATGGAGATGCGGAACCGCTTTGAGCGCAAGGAAGCGGCGAGGCACCCCATTAAATCACTTCTCTCCTTACCCTCCCCTTCTCTCCCCTCCCCTCCCACTTAGACACGTGTCCGTATGGCTCAAATGCGCCGACATGGAGATGCGCAACCGCTGTAAGGGGAAGCCTGCTCTGATGCATCGCCCTGTCCTCCCCACTCCATCACCCTCCCCCCTCTCCCCTTCCCCCTCCGCCCCCAGAAACGTGTCCGTATGGCTCAAATACGCTGACATGGAGATGCACAACCGCTTCGAGCGGAGGCACGCACTGATGCGTCACACCAATGCACTTTATTCCCTATCGCCCTCTCCCCCCTCCCCCTGCCACCAGGAATGTGTCCATATGGCTCAAATACGCCGACATGGAGATGCGCAACCGCTCTGAGAGCAAGCATGCACTGATGCATCGCCCTGTTCTCCTTTCTCCTCCCCCCCCCCCACCCCCCCCCCCCCCCTGCCACCAGAAACGTGTCCATATGGCTCAAGTACGCGGACATGGAGATGCGCAACCGCTTTGTCAACCATGCGCGGAACGTGTGGGACCGAGCAGTGTCGCTGCTGCCTCGCATCGACCAGCTCTGGTGAGTTTTGGTTGCTATGACTCAGTCATTCTTTGGATGGCTGGTCAGTCAGTGAATGGTCTACCACGGCACAGCACCATGCGCGGAACGTGTGGGACCGAGCAGTGTCGCTGCTGCCTCGCATCGACCAGCTCTGGTGAGCGATGGATGGTTGGCTTGTCTTTGTTGTTTTGCAATTATGTTCCTCTTCTCTTCCCACCTCTCATAACAAACACCCCTCTTCTCTTCCCACCTCTCATAACAAACACCCCTCTTCTCGTTTTGGCATGTAACATGCATCATTTCACCCTTCTCTGTTGTTCTTCGTCTTGCGATTATGTTCCTGATCCCACCTCTCATATCACCCCTCGACACACCTTTTCCAACACCCCTTTCCCCCCCCTCCCCCCCTCTTCCCCCTATCAGGTACAAACAAGTACATTCACATGGAGGAGATGCTGGGGAATGTGGCAGGGGCTGTCCCTTGCACTCAATCCCCTCCTTCTCTTCACTCACTCACATTCCCAACTCCAACCCAATACCAACACTGTACTACCCCTCACTTCATTCCCTCCCTCGAGGTACAAGTACATTCACATGGAGGAGATGCTGGGGAACGTGGCACGGGCTGTTCTCATGTTTCCAAACTTACCCCTTTTCCCTGTACCCATTCCCCCTGTCCCCGACCCCCCTCCTTCCCCCACCTCCCCTCTCCTCTCCCCCCAAGGTACAAGTACATTCACATGGAGGAGATGCTGGGGAACGTGGCAGGGGCGCGGCAGGTGCTGGAGAGGTGGATGAAATGGGAACCCGACCACCACGGCTGGTCCGCCTACATAAAATTCGAGCTTCGATACGGCGAGATCGCACGCGCTCGGGCCGTGTTTGAACGCTACACCATGTGCATTCCCACGGTCAAAGCGTGGATCCGTTTCGCGAAATTTGAGGTGAAGCAGGGGGAAATTTCGCGCGCCCGGGAGGTCTACGAGCGGGCAGTTGAAATTCTCGGCGAGGACGGGCAGAACGAGGAACTTTTCGTCGCGTTTGCCGAGTTTGAGGAGCGGATATGCAAAGAGACCGAGCGGGCAAGGGCGATTTACAAGTATGCCCTCGACCACGTTCCGAAAGCCCAGGCCGAATCCCTGTACAAAAAATTCGTGGTTTTCGAGAAGCAGCATGGGGACCGGGCAGGGATAGAAGATGTGGTGGTGGGGAAGAGGAGGTTTGAGTATGAGGAGGAGGTGAAGAGAAATCCGCGGAACTACGACGCGTGGTTTGACTATGTACGGCTGGAGGAGAGCGTGGGGGAGGCGGAGCGGGTGCGGGAGGTGTATGAACGGGCCATTGCGAATGTCCCTCCGGCTGACGAAAAGCGCTTTTGGCAACGATACATCTACCTCTGGTGAGCTGATATGAATGCCGTGCCATGCATACACGTTTATGTACGGATGGACACGTCTACGTCTATGTGTGGCTGGACGAGAGCGTGGGGGAGGCGGAGCGGGTGAGGGAAGTGTATGAACGCGCGATCGCGAACGTTCCATCCTGCTGATGAGAAGCGCTTCTGGCAGCGATACATCTACCTCTGGTGAGGGCAGCCCGGTGGGGCACGGCACATGTTACTTAATTTTGTGAGATAGTTTTACATGGGATGATTCGTGGGGCAGAGCGGGTGTGGGAGGTGTATGAACGGGCCATCGCGAATGTTCCTCCGGCCGATGAGAAGCGCTTCTGGCAGCGATACATCTACCTCTGGTGAGCTGAATCAACTCAAATGCGAGACAGATATATATCTGGTGAGGTAATGGGATGGCTCTCAATTCCAAGATGTCCCCCTCCCCCTGCCTGCCCCAACCTCCACCATAACACCATAACACCACCTCGCCACCTCGCCACCTCGCCACCTCGCCACCTCGCCACCCTTCACGCACAACAGGATCAACTACGCTCTGTACGAGGAGCTGGAGGACGAGGGAGGTGTACCGGAGTGACCCCAAACCCACCACCACCACTCCTAACACCTTTGCGTCCCCCCGCACTTTCACCAGGATCAACTATGCGTTATACGAGGAGCTTGAAGCGGGGGACATGGAGAGGACGCGGGAGGTGTACCGGGAGTGCCTGAAGCTCATTCCACATGGCAAGTTCTCATTCGCCAAGATCTGGCTGCTCGCCGCCCAGTTTGAGATCCGCCAGAAGCGCCTCTCCGCCGCCCGGCAGATCCTGGGCCATGCGATTGGAGTGGCTCCCAAGGATAAGGTGAGTTCAGATACGGTCTAAAGGTTATATAAGCATGATATGCTGGAATGCCATGGGTTTGAGATCCGCCAGAAGCGCCTCTCCGCAGCCCGGCAGATCCTGGGCCATGCCATTGGCGTTGCTCCCAAAGATAAGGTACGACGAGACGACTTTTGAACGAGTCGACTCAAAAGGTACGAGACATGCTATGCTTCCGAAGCAGTACGATGCACGCACATGAGATGACTCACTATAAGTTAAGCTGTGAAAGTGGCAGCAGGAAGGGGTATGCTGTGGTAGCGGCAGCAAGAATGCTGTGTTATGGGTTTGAGATCCGCCAGAGGCGCCTTCCCCCGCTGCCGCTGCCTGGCAGGTCCTGTCTCTACCATAGCCTAGCAAACCTCGCTGCCGCTACCATAGCAAGAATGCTGTGTTATGGGTTTGAGATCCGCCAGAGGCGCCTCCCCCCGCTTCCCTTGCCTTTACAACCTCCATTTTACATTCTCCATGTCTCTCCTTTCCTTTCCCCTCATCTCAGATCTTCAATGCTTATATCGAGATGGAGTTACAGCTGGGCAACATCGACCGCTGCTGAATGCTCTATGAGAAGTACCTCACCTCCCATGGCAGCACACACTCCCATGTTTCCACCCTCCACACACATCCCCCCCAGATCTTCAAGGCATATATTGAGATGGAGCTACAGCTAGGCAACATCAACCGCAGCCGCATGCTCTACAAGAAGTGCCTCCCATGGCATCTGGTGTCTCTCCCCCACGGCCCCCTTGCTCCCCCATGGCCCTTGTTCACCCACCCTACACACACTCCCCCCAGATCTTCAAAGCATACATTGAGATGGAGCTGCAGCTAGGAAACATCGACCGCTGTCGCATGGTCTATGAGAAATACCTCCTATGGCAGCCCAGCCCGTGTCTGTCTCTCCTCCCTGTCTCAACTCAACCCTCCCATGGCCTGTGCCCTCCATACCGACCCCCAGATCTTCAAAGCGTACATTGAGATGGAATTGCAGCTGGGCAACATCGACCGCTGCCGAATGCTGTACGAGAAGTACCTCCAATGGCAGCCCGCCAGCTGTCCCGCGTGGGCCAAGTTCGCTGAGCTGGAGCGCAGCCTGGGGGAGACGGAGCGGGCACGGGCGGTGTACGAGTTAGCCATCGGGCAGCCTCTGCTGGACACGCCTGAGCTGCTGTGGAAGGTGCGCTGTGCCTCAGCCACGCTTCTAGAGGCTTGCAGTAGTGTGTGCATGCATGAGGGCGCGGGCGGTGTACGAGCTGGCCATCGGGCAGCCGTTGCTGGACACGCCTGAGCTCCTGTGGAAGGTGGGTGATGCTGGGAAAGGTGAGTGAGATGGGCAAGCCTTTAGAGGAGGGCATGTCCCGCGTGGGCCAGGTTTGCAGAGCTGGAGCGCATCCTGGGTGAAACCGAGTGGGCGCGGGCGGTGTATGAGCTGGCTATTGGACAGCCGCTGCTAGATACCCCCGAGGGTACGTTGCATTGCATGTGAGTGCGCACACACGCATGAGTGGGCCAAGTTCGCTGAGCTGGAGCACAGCCTGGGCGAAACCGAGCGGGCACGCGCAGTGTATGAGCTGGCGATAGGACAGCCCTTGCTCGATACTCCTGAACTGCTGTGGAAGGTGGGTGATGCTGTGGAAGGTGGGTGATGCTGGGAAAGGTGAGTGAGATGGGCAAGCCTTTAGAGGCGGGCATGTCCCGAGTGGGCCAGGTTTGCAGAGCTGGAGCGCAGCATGGTCGAAACCGAGCGAGCTCGGGCCGTATACGAGCTAGCCATCGGGCAGCCTCTCCTGGATCCACCCAAGCTGCTGTGGAAGGTACGCTGTGCCTCAGCCACGCTTCTAGAGGCTGGCAGTAGTGACTTGGTCCACGCGCGCGCCTTGGTCCACGCGCGCGCCGTGGTCCACGCGCGCGCCATGGTCCACGCGCGCGCCTTGGTCCGCGCGCGCGCCTTGGTCCGCGCGCGCGCCTTGGTCCACGCGCGTGCTCTGGTCCACTCGCGCGCCTTGGTCCGCGCACAAGTGTTAAGACGTCTCAATATGTGCAAGCACTCAATACCAGTCTTACTGCTTCCATCCCGTCATCTCTGTCCTATTGAGACTTTGAGATAGCAGATTGGGAGAGCGAGCGCACTCATTTGTTGACCCATTGTCTCAACTCGCTTTTTTCTTATCGTCTCCACTCTACTGCCTCTGCCCTATTGCCTCTCGTCCAATCACATGCATACATAGACTTTGAAACAGCGGAGGGGGAGAGCGAGCGCACGAGGCAGCTGTACGAGCGAGCACAAACACCTTGTGACGAAATCAATACCTGTCTTACTTCTTCCATCCCGTCATCTCTGCCCTTTCGCAGAGAGCGGAGGGGGAGAGCGAGCGCGCACAATTGTTGAGATGTAACACATTTCCCTGTTGTCTTTGCTCCCCTACCCTGCCCCATGGCAGGCGTACATAGACTTTGAGATAGCGGAGGGGGAGAGCGATCGCACAAGGCAACTGTACGAGCGATTGCTGGAGAGGACCAAGCACGTTAAGGTGAGCCCTGTTTGTTGTAACCAGGCAGGTATCATGCAGAGGGGCGCAGGTATGTAACAAGCACAGCACAGGCATGCTGGGGGGCACGAGGCAGCTGTATGAGCGACTACTGGAGCGAACCAAGCGCGTCAAGCTGAGAACTGGTAACCAGGTAACACCAGTGTTGTGTAGTCGTACGTGGTAAGCACTAATGAGTGCACGAGGCAGCTGTACGAGCGGCTGCTTGAGAGAACCAAGCACGTCAAGGTGAGTAACATTCCTTGGCTGGTGAAATCGTTCCTTGCTGGTAACCAGGTAACAGCTGTGTTGTGTAGTCATACGTGGTAAGCACTAATGAGCACATGCGGCAGCTGTTGTACGAGTGCCTGCTGGAGCGAACCAAGCACATCAAGGTGTGAAACACTCCTTTTTGGTAGCCACGTGTGTATGTATACATGGTTAGTATTTCAATGAGCGCACGAGACATTTCAATGAGCGCACGAGACAGCTATATGAGCGCACGAGACAGCTGTATGAGCGCACGAGACAGCTGTATGAGCGCACGAGACAGCTGTATGAGCGCACGAGACAGCTGTATGAGCGCACGAGACAGCTGTATGAGCGCACGAGACAGCTGTATGAGCGCACGAGACAGCTGTATGAGCGCACGAGACAGCTGTATGAGCGCACGAGACAGCTGTATGAGCGCACGAGACAGCTGTATGAGCGCACGAGACAGCTGTATGAGCGACTTCTGGAGTGAACCAAACACATCAAGACACACCTCACCATCGCTTTCCTCCCCTTTCTACTCCTTGCCACGCTTTGCCACTCCTGTCACACCACTCCTGCTACACCTTGCCTCTTATCCCTCTCCTCCTAACCACACCCGGACCCGTACATTCCTTCTCTCCCTCCTCACAGGTGTGGATGAGCTACGGGCAGTTTGAGGCGCAGGTGGCAGTGGAGGAGGAGATACGAGCAGAGGAGGAGGGCAGAGAGGCGGACGAGCACTGATGCCCCTCCTTGTTACCACCCTTGCCCCTATTCTCCCGCAGGTGTGGATGAGCTACGGGCACTTTGAAGCACAGGTGGCAGTGGAGGAGGAGATTAAGGCGGAGGAGGAGATACGAGCAGAGGAGGAGGGCAGAGAGACGGACGAGCTGAGCTCTCATGCCCCCCTTTTCCCCATGCATCCCACTGTGTCTCCACACCCACTCCCTCCCCAATTCTCTGCAATTCCCGCAGGTGTGGATGAGCTACGGGCAGTTTGAAGCACAGGTGGCAGTGGAGGAGGAGATTAAAGCAGAGGAGGAGGGCAGAGAGGCGGACGAGCTGGTGCTGGCAGAGCAGTCCAAGGACCGGGTCACCAGGGCACGAGGTACAGTGCGGTGGGGTACGGTGCTTGGGGTGTAAGGTGTGTGGGTGGAAGGCACAGACACAAGGAGCCAGTGCGAGCCCAGGAGGAGGAGGGCAGAGAGGCGGTCGAGCTGGTGCTGGCAGATCAGTCCAAGGACCGGGTCACCCAGGCATGAGGTACGGTGCGGTGTGGTGTACAGGTGGTGTGGGCTGTGCGTGTGCTGCATGCTGTACGGGTGCTGTACGGGTGCTGTAGTGAAGGCGTTTCAAACGATTCAAACAAGGGAGGAGGGCAGAGAGGCAGACGGGCTGGTGCTTGCAGAGAAGTGCAAGTATCGGGTCACCAGGGCCAGAGGTACGGTGCGGTGGAGTGGTGTGTGGGGCATGGAATCATAGGTACAGAACAGTGCAAGTCCACCATGTCTCTTCTTCACTACATGAATCTGATCCTCGTCCCTTTCCCTGGTTTTCTCACTTTCCCTGCCTGCGCTGTTCCTCACATGTGGCCACTTGCAGAGGTGTATGAGCGGGCATTTGAGCACATGAGGACGAATGCCGCCGACCAGAAGGAGGAGCGGGTGATGCTGCTGGAGGCGTGGCGGGAGATGGAGCGGGCGGCAGGCGTGAACGGCGACCCGGGATCGGTCGAGAAGAAGATGCCACGTCGTGTGAAGCGGAAGCGGCCAATCACGACGGAGGATGGCACTCCTGCTGGGTGCGTGCATACTCATTATGTGCTAACTCATTACACTTAATGGGTTGTTTCTGTCTTCTCTCCTGTCTCGTTTCATCCATTCGTCCTGTGATCTAACCTGCGATTCAACCCTACGTTCTGGTGTGTGTGGGCTGCCTACCGTGCCATAATTCTCGTTTGTATTATTTGCACTCATCGTTGGAGACTTATCCCGGTTGTGCCAATCCGTCCATTCTTGCTTATATCAGGTTCGAGGAGTATTACGACTACATCTTCCCCGATGAAGTGGCTAACCAACCTAATCTCAAGATCCTGGAGGCTGCTTATAAATGGAAGAGGCAAAAGCTCACTATGGGGGATGAGGAGGAAGGGCAGCAGGAAAGTGGAGTGGAGAGGGAAGGGGGAAGTGGAGGGTTGATAGACAATAAGGAGGATGACTAGTACGTACCTACTAACATTTGTGGCAATTTCAACGAAACTGCAGATTCTTGTGCTTGCTTTAAACACGTAATGAAGCTGTAAGTGTTTACCAAGCACCAAGCTCTTCCTTTTACCAGCCAAGCACTTCGTTTTATAGGACTTGTTTGACAAAATTGTAGTTTTTTAGGATCACCAAGCACTTCGTTTTACCAACCAAGCTTGGTGTTCACATCCGTGAACAAGCGCCAGCCCATCATCACCTTACCTAGCATCTGCGCGTCAGGCACGGTGGGCCGTTGATTCTGCTCACCATCTCTCCGTCATCCCCGCCGTCGCTTTCGCTGAAACCATACCCTGCTCCCCATCCCACCTGAAATCCCAGCACCCATCGATCACTCCATTTCCGATCCCGTTTCCACGGCCGCACTCACCACTACTAACATCTGCAAACTCGCACTGGGTTCCCGCCTTTGCCCGCACTCGCGCTGCTTTCTCATCTCTGCGTAGCCTCTACCACCTACCTGATCTCGTAGCCATGGCGGGGGGTCTGGACGTGCATAAGAACAAGTACATCGAGGATTGGGGTACGCGGCGCGAGAACCTCGAGAAGATCTTTCGCTTCAACCGTCGCACGCTCTCGATCGCGGCGCTCGCAATCGTTGTCCTCCCCGTCGTCGTGTACCGAGGCACCATCGCAGAATTCGTAAGGCCCGCTTTTTTTTGTGAAGTCGTTATATTTGATTAGGGTTGGTGGGTGGGGAGGGTGGGAAGGGTAGGAACTTCTTTTTGCGTACCTTTCTCCTCCTCCATTCCCCCCTCCCTTCCCCTCCCCTTCCCTCCCCCCCTCTACCCCCACCACTTCTCACCCTCCTCTCCATCTGCGCTCTCTCGACCCTCGCACACTGCTTTGCATGGTAAACCTTGGTTTTGCCTAACAAAAGTTGTCGTTAGGAAAAATATAGAGCTTGCAAGGGCTGGTGTCTTATAGTTGCACCCACTCTCTTGAGAGGATATGGTGTAATGCACCAAATAGAATTCCTTTGCTCCGTAAGCATGCTGCCAGCCAGGCTTCATTCTGTTTATATTCATTAGATGATGAATCGGACTGAACATGTGCACTCACAGCGTTCACATTCATTGCTTCATTTTCCATCTTTTGCGTTCGTATCATTCGTCCACCTGTCCGCCTGTATGTCTGCTTGTCCACCCTCGTTTCTCTACCCCATGCTCCCTCTTGTTCCTTCGTTGCCCTCAATGCATTTCTAATATCAAATCACTCCATTCCATGATTAACCACGATTCCCTTCCCTTACTCAGCAGCAAGGGTTAGAATTTCGCCTGGGTTTGCTTTCATTTTGCAAGCAGTTGTCTTTCGTCTCTGCTGATTGGATTCACTTCCTTCCATTCCACGGGCCCAACCTGTTGGGATATATCACAGCGCATCGTCTTCTTGACTTGAACAGTGTTTTCGAGGTTATTCATACTCATTGCTGTATTGCTTGAAATATGTGCGCTGATGCAGAGGAAGCAAGAGGAACTGGAAGGCCGACCGCAGCGCAAGTTCATGTAGATGTGCAAAATCTTCGTACAGGGCATCAAACCATATGTAAATTGGAAATAGGACTGAATTGAACCCTTTTCTAGAGTGTTTTGGCCTTTCCTAAGCTCACTGTATTGCTTATGCACACTCCGGGTACTGAGTTATCCGCGATACAGTCTAGGCTGACATCTCCCGCTCCAGCTCCTCCTTCTTCAGCTCCTTTCGCGCCACGACGGTTCTTGTTGCTGCTGCTAGTCACTCGCGCGTGACCAGGCGACAATCCCAAGGCCAACGTGATCTCGATCCGCACTTCTTCGCCGCGATCGCTCACCCAATCGTTTCCCTTCGCCACGCGCTCCGCCGCGCCGCCACATCACCACAACCATTACCAGCAGCAGCACCACCAGTCGTGGCTTTCACGACCGTTAAACGACTTAGAACTGGCTCAGAAAGCTGATTCACATCTGAGAATTCCCAACCGGCGCACCTGTCTTCTGCTCTTTTGAATCTCGCAGTATCGTTCCTGCGACAGATGGCTGCGCGCGTCGTCTCTCGCATCTGGTCGCACGGAGCGGCGGATCGAGCCGTTACATGGCCGTTCGCGGCGTTCGCAAACGGCTTTCCGATTTCGCGAGTCGTTACATCTCCCGCGTCCTCGACATGCCCCGTAAGGTACATTCCTCGTCGCCCCTAGAAACAATGCCATTCTCCCCCTCCCCTCCCCCCTCTCCCTCCCCTCCCTCCTCCCCCTCCTCTCCCTCCCCCTCTTCCCTCATCCCTTCATTCCACCTCTATTCTCCGTCTCCAGCCTCATTCCCCGCTCTTCGCGCTCGTCTTCCCTCCTTTACCTCGTCGCTCCTCCCCTCAACCATCTCCTCTCTCTCTGTGCGCTTCCTCGACTGCCTCTCGCCTGTCGCTCTGTCAACTCTCACCCCTCTGCTCCCTTCCCTCCCCGCCCATTTCACTCTGTGCGTTTATTCCCGCAGGGATTTCTCTTCAGCCTCCCCCCGCTCTTCAGAATCTCCCACTGAAACAGCTGCATCCCGTGGCCCCTTAGAGGTAAGTCACTGTTGAGTCGATTCATCTAAACACCCACCTACAGGGTTCCCTACGTTACCTCCCCTAACCCCCCCTTCGTCTCCTCCTCTTCAGAAACTCCCTCTGAAACAGCCGAATCCCGTGGTATGTTAGAGGTAAGCCACTCTTGAGTCTTTGACTCAACACTCGCCTGCAAAATTCCTTCCGCTACATTTTCCGCCTCTTGAGAAGCTCCCACTGAAACATCTGGATCCCGTGGTCCGCTAGGGGTAAGCCACTCTCGAGTCTTTGACTCAACACTCAGGCCTCCGCAAATGCCTTCATTTCCCCACTTGTATCAGGCACTCCGTCAGAGGTAAGCTACCGTGCCAGGCAACCTCCCTCACTGTTCGTGGCTGTAGACCATGGGTTGTACCAGCTCAGAAGCATCTTGTCACGATTGTCTGCTGGTGGTGCATCCTCAGAAGCTCACCTCTCTCCCGCATCCTCTTTCTCACCTCCTCCCAGGACCTGGCCCAACGGCAGTGGGACTACCAAGCCCAGGTGTCCTCTCTCCTTGAGGCAAACGCGCAGGAGCAGCAGGAGCTGAGGCGAGCAGCGATGAAGGCGCAGCATTCACATCCTTCCCTGCTCCCCACGTGATCCTCACCTCACGTTCCTCCTCCCAGGACCTAGCCCAGCGGCAGCGGGACTACCAAGCCCAGGTGTCCTCCCTTCGCAAGGCATACGCGCAGGAGCAGCAGGAGCTGAGGCGGGCGGCTCTGAAGGCGCAGCAGATGCGCAGAGAGGCGGCGGCGAGTGAGAAGGAGTCGCACGCGGAGGAGAAGCTGGTGGCAAGGGCCGCCCGGGCGGCGCGGGCAAGGGAGGAGCAGGAGAGTCTGCGAGCAGCTAAGGTGGGTCGGATGGGTGGGGAAAAACAGATATGGGGGATGGGGGGGGAGGGAAGAAAATGATGGGGGGGAAGGGGCTGTGGGGGTAAGGGGAGGGGTCGTGCTTGCTGGCTTTGTGTGTTGTGGTGTGGTGAGGCCTAGGGAGGAGCAGCAGATGCGCAGAGAGGCGGCGGCGAGTGAGAAGGAGTCGCACGCGGAGGAGAAGCGGGCGGCGAGGGCCGCCTGGGCGGCGCGGGTGAGGGAGGAGCAGGAGAGTCTGCGGGCGGCTAAGGTGGGTGGCATGGGTGGGATGGAAGAAAAGGATGGGGAAGGGGGGTAGGAGGGGGAGGGGGGCTGAAGGGAAGAAGGGGAAATATGTTCATGTTGAGGGTGTGTGTGGTGTGGTAAGGGCGAGGGAGGAGCAGAAGATTCTGTGGGCGGCTAAAGTTGGTGGGATGGGTGGGATTGATTGGAAGGAAATGAATGGATGAGGGGGGAGGGGGAGAGGAGGGAAAGGGGGAGGGGAAGAGGAGGGAGAGGAAGGGAAGAAGGGGGGATCGAAGTCATGAATGATAGAGGTGTGTGGTATGGTGTGGCATGGTATGGTGTGGTCTGGTGTGGTGTGGTCTGGTGTGGTGTGGTGGGTACATTCTCTCATGCACAATGCCAGACCATGTGTACCTTTCGTCCTTCAACCTTTGATTAATTCTGTCTTGTTGTTTTGTGAGCAGCAAGAGCTGAAGGTGATGAATGCAGCGCGGTACAAAGAAAGGGCGGGGAAGATAAATGCTCGTAAGGAAGCGGCCAACACTGCTTTGCGGATGGAGAGTGCAAGATGGATCAGGGAGGATGAATTGGAGTGGAGAATCATGTAGGCCATGTCGAAGCCATACATTTTGTGATCTCACATTTTCCTGCTACACTTCGCCGATTCAAAGAAGCAGGATGGAGAGCGCAAGCAACATGGATTAGGGAGGATGAGTTGGGAGGGGAGGATCATGGAGGCCATGTCGAAGCCATAGATTCTGTGATTTCACATTGTGTCTCACATTTATCGCTGTTAATGATCTACTGGTAGTTCTTGTTGCTGCTGCAGCTGTGGGAAGAAATCCTCATCTCTGGTGAATTCTACTGGTGATTTGCATGGCGCACCCCTTCTCAATGTTTACAGATGAAGCAGACCTGAATCTTATAACAAGGATGATTTCACCTGCTTTGGTGTCACCCAGATCTGAGGCGGTTTGTAAACTTGCAGCAGGGCTTTTCTCGATTCATTTGACGAATGTGACCCTTTTTTATACAAATGCACCGTGCTGTACCGTTCTGGGAGATTCAGTTCTTCCAGTCCAGCAGTTCCCTTCCAACCCATTCCCATTTTGCCTGCCTTCTCGTGCTTGTGCAGCTTCGCACCTCCCTCTAGCATATCTCAACGGACAAACGAGTCAGCCCAAAGACCAGCAGGCAAGGCACGCAGATTCGAGGAGTGCATAGCTGGGCAGAACTTACAAGTAGATCAGAGCAGAATTCAGGGAATTCAGTCGCAGATTCTCGTCTGATTGACATCCGTGTCATGGCAAGCGACAAAGTGGCGTACCTAAAAACGCTCGTAACGAGCCCAAGCCACTTTCGCTGAAGTCACGCTCCTGCTGCTGCATATTAGACTCGATTCCTGATCGCGAATCCTCTCCCCTGTCCCCTTCATCCCACGCCCGCCCTGCTTCAGCCCGCTTACCCTTCAGTCGGTCTTATCTCAGATTCAACTCCTTGTATTCTGCGTTTCCTTGTTATTCAACGGCAGCTGATTCTTTAACTTAGTTTCGATTCGAATTGGAGGGGACGGATCACGATGCTGGGGATATTCAGCGTTGTCTATTACTCCCTAGTCTGCCTCGTTACAAGCTTTCTCGTTGTCCGATACGGGTTGCCGGTCCGTCTACTCCGGCAACTGCAGGTCTACGTTCTTACAGATCAAAATGCTGGAGTACCCATGTCATCCGTTCCCAACGGGCAGGGCAAAAACAGGGGCAGGAGAAAAAACAACGAGCCGGAAGCGGACGAAACAAGCGGCAAGATGATGCGAATTCTCGTGCAGGATGGTCACCTCTATTCGCGAAAGTTCTTTCGCGAGTTCGACGAGACGATCCTGTTCGCCTGCATAGGGATCATGGCGGTGTTCTCCCGGGAAATCCTGAGCGTCATTGAGATTTACCTTCAGGGAAGCGGAATGCTCGCCAGCCAGCAAAGCCAGCAGCAGCAAAATGCAGATCCGAACACCCCAAAGCATAATCTCCATTCCTCTTCAACCGGCCTTTTCCTGATGGATCATGGAGGCATGATTCCGCTTCTCCTGGCAGCTGTGGCTTTGTGGAAGATAATCCGGAACTGGGCTTCTGTAGAGTACGACCGAGGCACAACCCGATCCTCGGATTTCACGCAGTGTGCTCTCGCCGGGATAGCGAGCTGTCTTATAACGGGGTTCCTCCTCTTCGTCCTGCCTGCGTCTCTCACCGGCTTCGACTTCGTTTCCGTCGCAGAGAAGGCCGGCGTGACTATAACGAATCACTTCAAGTCGAAGGGACTCGCTAAGGACAACATCCCCGAATTCGTCATCCCCCCAACCTTCATTAAAACCTCATTGGTGCTCTTCTCAGGAGTCATCGGCGCGCTGTGCCCCCCTGCTGCTATCCGATTCGTCCGCTGCTTCTATCTCTCCACCAGTCAGCAGCCGTGGGACACAGGGATCATCCATCAGGGTTTCTGGTCCTCTCTCCTCTGGAATGTCAGCTTTCTGCTGCCCGTGCTCGCAGCAGCGCTCTGGTTCCGCCCCCTGACGGAAGTTTTTGAGCCTGTGGTTGTTTTTAGTGCGGTTGGGAGTGGTGTAGCTGGTGGCTCTGGTGCTGTTGGTGGTGGTGGTGGTGACATTGTTTTGGCTGGTGCTTTGGGTTCTGCTTCTGTTGCCGCTGCTAATGCTACTGCTGGTGCTTCAAATTCTACTGCTGCTGCTGGTGTATCCACTCTCTCCCACTTGGGTGCTTACGTTGGCTCTCTGATTGGATCCATTATGAGTGGCCAATGCGGTGGCCTTCCAATCGAGTGGCTCCAGGTGGCGGTTATTCTCCTCGGTGGCATTTCCCGCCTTCTGCTTCTCCGCATTGTCGTACAGTCACACCTCAATACTGCGTTGGTGTATTGGTACGATCAGCTACACTCTGGCAAGGAGTGGGCTTATCATCGTGTAAACGCACGCGTGCAGCTGACATATTATTTCATCTGCAAGGTTGCTATTCAAGCGGTTGCACTCCCTATAGTCACACTCCTGCTGGTGGGTATTGCAAGGAGCAGAGGACCGGAGTTGGATCCACTGTTTGATAAAGAGGGGTCATTGTTACCACCACTGTTGGTGAGGGAGATGGCTATGTTTCTTGCTTGGTGGTGCAATTTGGCTTGGGCTTTGCAGACTTGTGCTATTCTGGCACTGTTCAGGGTAGGACAGTTGAAAGCTGTGTAGGGGAAGGTGCCTTCTAGTGTATGACGCTTATGCGGTTTGAGCAACCTTATCATTCCCCCGAATCCAAACCATTTCCGGAAGCATTTCTTTCGATACCAGCTGTTACAATTGTCTGCTCCATTTGTTTATGGTAGGATTGTATTATTCCTTTACCATGGTGCACAAGAATTCACAACCGCAATTTTATACGCGCTGGAATGACTCTCACCAACCACAAGCGGCGGATTTGCAGCGTTGCCAGCGCGGCCCGCATGGGGATCACTCAAACAGCATCCAATCATCGCCTACCGTGGTTTCGTTAGAGACGCTAAACAGAACACAGTAACTCGTCGTCGTACAAGATCAGTGGTTGAACGACACTCGCCATGCCAGTCGGAAGAAGCGCACATTTTTCGCTCGAGTCGCTCAATTTGCGCCGCCGCCTTTGAAGAGGCGTAATTCGCCCCTCCGTAACCCCTCGCATTGCATTTGCACCTCCGCCACATCCTCTCGCCCTGCATTCGCGCTCATCCTCTCCCTGTCGCGCTCCCCATCTTCCCTCTCCCTGCCCCTTCCCTTCCCTCCCTGTCTACCTCTCCCTTCTGTCCTCCATCCTTTGTCCACCTCTTCTCTCATCAGTCTCTATCCTCCCCAGTCCCCACCCGTCTCTTCAGTCCCCTCCCCACTCTGCCCAATCCCCGGTTTTCGTAGTCCACACTCTCCTTTCCACGCCTTTCCTCTGAAGGAGTTAAAACCGGGGTGCACATTCAGCTGAATGTGCATCAAAGGTTATCCCTTGACTGAGTGGGTTACGAGGTGTGCTTTCAACCCCTTCAAGTCGAAATTCGTTTCCCCCCTCCCCCGCAATTTCGTTTCCCCACGCCCCCGCAATTTCATTTCCCCCTCCCCGTCGAAATTCGTTTCCCCCCTCCCCCGCAATTTTGTTTCCCCCCTCCCCCGCAATTTCGTTTCCCCCCCCTCCCGCCAATCTGTTTCATCCCTCCCGCCATTCGGTTTCACCCACTCCCGCCATTTCACCCCCTCCCGCCACCTACGAAATGCCCGAAGCTCTAGCGGAATCATTTTTTTGTCGCCCCTCGTGAGCCAATCACTGTTTTTCTCCAAACCCCCTTCCCAACATCTCAAGCCGAACCGCGTTGAATGTGCACCCTGGTTTTAACCTAAGAGGTAGAAACTACACGCACCGCCATGTAGCGCATTCAGAAGCCGAGTAACCGCGCTAGGTGAGATTTTAAGACGCGCGATTCCGTGTAGCATCGCGTATGCGCGCTCGGAGCAGCACCACTGCTATCATCGGGGGCGGCGAGAGTAGCAGCAGCAGCGGCGGCGGGAGCGCCGGTGCCACCTCGGGCAGTAGATTCGGCGCGCTGATGGCTCGACCGGCAATCCGACGCGCTGGGATAGTAGCGCTGGTGCTCTTAGCGGGGTTGATCCCGTGTCTCGTGCTTGCTCTCGCTCATGGCGAGCACGCTGCGGTTAACTTCCACGATACTAGTAGCGCCTCCGACATACGGCAAGAAGTTGCCACTCAAGAGCTTGCGGCCACTGCCCTGGTTCATGAGCTAATCCCCCCTAGTAGCATTACTTCGACAAGGGTTCAAGAGGATCCGTCCTTAATATTCTTTAATTACACTCCGGCAGGATTCAAGCCGGAAATCTCTGACGCTATTCCTTCGATTCGTCCTTTCCCCGAGCTACCTTTGAACTTCTCGAAATCTAGCCCGATTTCTGAGTCGCGAGAGAGTAACAATCCCGATATCAGTCCCCACGAAGGACGATCTCCTGGTGAATCAAGGTTATCCGCGGCAGAAGCTCTCTTCGATACGAGCAGA